TCCAAATACAAATAAGAAGTAGTGAAAAGGCAATAAATTGAGGATTTTAAGGTTTCTTAAATTACATAATGTACTAATATTTCAATTCTTTAGCTGTGTAAGAAACAGAAGAAAAGATTAAGACCCAGATCTTGTAATGAGCTTCACATGTGGACCCATTAAGGATCAGGGTCCCAATTTGGATTTAAAAAAAATTCTTCCATGTCCAGGGTACCTTTTTACATAGTTGAATCATTCTGTAATTGTGCTGTGTCCCAATTTTTCCCAGATCTCAAAATAAAAAATATAAACACCACAACGTCTAGCACAGCAGTCTCCAAGCATGTTTGCAGGTTTGGGGCTTTAATCTGTGAAGCTCTTGGTGTTTTGTGTTTTTAAAAAATCTTGGAAGCTACTTGCCCACATAGGACCCCGACTGGAGTCAGCTGTGTTCCATGGGACTGCAGCAGTCCCTCTGCATGCCACACATTGTAGGATCAGGATCTAAGGAAACAAGGCCCCCTTCCTAACAGTTTAGAATTTTAACTCCGGAAAAACAATGCTTCTGATACAGGCCAAACACTGAAACGCTCCACTGCACTTGGGAGATTTACACACTCTAAGGCAGTGGTCCCCAAATTTGTTATATTGCACCCCACCCCCATTACTTGTAACGTAATCTGTCTGTACTCCCCCAGGTGCTGGGGCCAGAATCAGAGCTGCGACTAGGGCTAGGAGTGGAGCTGGGGCTGGAGCAGAGCTTCTCCCACCAACATAGCTTTTGTCACTCGCAACTGATGGGAGAGCTCTTCACCAGAGCATAGAGAATCTTCACCCCATGAGCTGCAGCGATGCACTTTTATCGGTGCCACTGCAGAGCTGTACATATAAGTACATCAGGCTACGTCTATATCGCAATCTGTATGAATTGAGTACTTACCTATACCTTAAACCAATTAATCACTGGAAATGAATAAATATACAAACTGTCACCTAGTTCAGCTCGTCTAGACAGAGCTGGTGTTTCTCAAAAGGCTACTGCCCTTCATTTTGTCTAAATTTTGCTGTTTCAGGCTCCAGTAACTAGACATTCTACGACTGTGTCCAGTCATTTTAAAAACTAAGAGACATCATCTCTTACCACAGGCTCAGCTTTCAAATTTGGCGGCTTGCAGCTAAGCATCTAAGGCCTCAATCATGGAGCTCTGAGTGAGAGGACCCTTATACCCACATGGAACCACACTGAAGTCAGTCAGCTTCTACACAGAGACAAGGACCTGCCCTTATGTATCAGCTTGCAGGACTGGGCCAAAATCTGTGTATTTAGGTATCTTAAAATCCACGTCTGGGCACCCATGTTTGAAAGCTGAGCCTTATTTTGTTTCTTAAGCATTGTCACATCTTTTGCTTATCAACATTAATACTTCATTTATATTTTACGATGACTAATATAACTTCAAGAGGTACGCATTTAATATAATGAAAGCCCCACGTATACATCAGTCCTAAAATTTTAGCTCAGTATATTCCAGTGCAACACAAACAATATAATGTGGGACACTCACATCAAAGTAGCAGGCAATCTTGAAAGTCACAATTTCAGCTTGTTTTAGACTGATGATGCCTGAGCAAAAGTTCCTTAAAGCTAGTCATGGTGGGTGTCAGTCTGCTTGCAGCCACGTTATTCACAGACCTGAAGGCTAACCTCCTACATAACACAGGCCAGAGAATTTCACTCAGTAATTCCCAAGATCAAGCCCAGAACTTGTGCTTGAGCGAAATCATATGTTTTAAAAAGACATCCAATCTTGAGTTAAAGACATTATAAACACCACACATCTTAAAAAATACAGTATAACATTTTATACTGTACTTCAATAGCATCTTTCATCCAAGGAGCTCAGGACCCTTTAAAAACACAAATGAATTTAAAGTTCACCCATCTGAAGAAGGGTTAAACCAGGTCCTGTCTACATAAAGAAATTCACACAAATGTGACTATATTGGCATGTTACTGGATTAAATCACAGTGCACTGCTGTGGTATAATCCCTATTTTGCACTGGTGCACCATATATACATTAGGGGTTTGCTTTGGCATAACTACACCAATAGCGTTATACCAGTGGAACTTTCCTTAATGTAGAAAAGTTTTGAGTTACCCAGCGTATCACAGCAAATCCATGGCAGATGTAGAGAGAGGACCCTCATCTCCTGTCCAAATCCTGTGCTCTACCCACGTCAGACTATATGTAAACATGTATTTCTGTCTTGACTAAGAAAAACTGGTGCATTTTTAGAAAGAAATGCTTTTTTAAGGTAACATGATTAAATTGGGAGTCATTGAAGTCAAGAATTTAAAAGGCTTCAAAAAGGGATTGGATATTTATATGGATATCTAGAATAGCTGAATTTATAATTCACAAGAATAGATCTGGGAAGGAATATTAAAACTTGTGCTTCAGGGTTGAAGCCAATTTCTGTTAGAGACCAGGATAACACATAATATGGGAGCAAATTATCCCAAACATGCCTACTGTGAGGTTCCCATTCCTTCCTCTGTAGCATCTGGTACTGGCCACTGTGAGACAGGACACTGGACTAGATGGACCTTGGGTCTGATCCAGTCTGGCAATTCCTATGAGCTGTGTGTCATCATCAGAAGCAATCTCCCCACTGACCAGGACACACCAACTCAAAGCAGCACTGGACCCTGCCAGAACAACAGATGCAAAACCTGCAGACATATCCTCACTAGTACAATGATCAACACCCACCCACAATACATCTTTCAAGATCCATGGGTCTCACACATGCCTATCACAACATGTGGTGTACCTCATCCAGTGCACTAAATGCTTCAATAACAACTATGTGGGTGAAATGAGACAATCAATACATTCTCAAATGAACTCACACAGAAAAATGATAAAAGACAAAAACACCACATCACCATTTCACAAAACTATCACTCTATATCTGACCTCTCATTCTCAAAGGAAATCTACACATCATCTTCAAAGGACAAGCCTGGGGACTTAAATTCATAACTTTTCTTGACACTAAGAACCATGGACTGAATAGAGACATTGGATTTATGGTTTATTACAAACAGTCTATAACCCACTAACCCCTCCCCATAGCATTGGCCATGTCACCTTGAATGTTCCCTTGCAATGTGTGTTAACTACTTACGTAGTATTTATTTATTTCACCTTGTATTTAGTTGTGACACTTTGGGTATGTTTACACAATAAAGAAAAACCTGCAGCTAGCCCATGCCAGCCGACTCAGGCTGTGGTGTTGTTTCATTGCTGTGTAGACTTCCAGGCTCAGGCTGGAGCACCAGAGGTTTTTCTTTGCTGTGTAGACATACTCTCCGAGTACAGTTCCCAGACCTGAAGAAGAGCACTGTGTAAACTTGAAAGCTTGTCTCTCACCAACAGAACTTGGTCCAATAAAAGATATTACCTCACCCACCTTGTCTCCCTAAGAATTACCCACCTTGACTTAAAATACCATTTGTAGCATGTAAGCAAAGTTTAACGCCTGTTTACAACATGACTAGGTAACACGATTTAAAAGGTGTTACATTTGATGCTAAGTGGTGTTTCAAGTCACGTTAGCTAACACCATTTTAAAAAGCCTAGGTTTTTTTCTAGTCTCGGAGGCAGACCTTGGCTACATAAGAAAGTTAGACCTGTAAAAGCAAAGCTGTGAATTTAAACCAATCTAGTTATATTTGTATAACCTGCTGTGTGGGAATTCTTATTTCAGTATAAGAGTGCCTTTTTCAGTTTAGTTTATATCACTTTGGAAGGGGTAAACAGGAGTCAGTGTGTCCACTTGGGGAATTATGTGGATATAATTATGCCGCTATACCCGTCAACTTCCTCTTACAGAGAGGATCACTAAGTCTACACTAGCAAAACAGGAGCTGTACTTTTCAGCTGGGGCAGTTTTCACCAGCGAAAAACGGTAGTGCAGACAGTGTAGAGCATCTGTTTGCATGAACCCTTGCTTTTCCAGGGCTCAGTCTACAAGCTCTTCTGCGAGGCAGAGTCTGCATCTCCCTCTCGGCCATTACATGCCACTCAGGACCCTTTTTGTTTTGGGGCCATTCCGTGGGTCTCTGCAGTACAGTTGCGTCTGCCTGTGCGGGCGCACGTGCGAGTCTTCCCCCTTTCAGCTTTGTCTGAGGGGGTCTTTCCGCGTCTGGGCTCTATCCCTAGCCCGTCCACTGATCTGACGCGCGACCTCGGGGGGCGGAGGGGGGCGTTTCCCCACCTGCCTAGCGCTCTAGGGGAGCCGTGAGGGCGCTGACGATGGGCCCAGTGCTACTCTCGCGCCTTACCAGCGTCAGCGCCACCTCCAGCATGGGGGCCAGGGCCAGGGTGCCGTGGAAGAGGGGGACGCAGTCCACGAAGAGGGTGTGGGGCTGCGGCTGCCCGTGGGGCTGCTGGTCCTTGCGGGGCGGGGGCGGCTGCTTCTCGGCCACCAGCAGCCCGTTGACGGCGCAGTGCGGGTACTTGGCTCCGTGCAGCACCATCTTGCAGTAGGCCTGGGTGGTCAGCTTCATCCTGGGGCGCCCTGCTCCGTCGCGGGGGCCGGCCCCCAGCTCCGCCCGCCTCGCCTCGCCTCACGGCGCGGCGGGGGGCACCATAGGCGGCGGAGACGCTGGGGCTGCCCCGCCGGGCCGCGTGAGGCTCCTCCGGGCGGCCCCTGAGAGGCCAGCTCCCGCCTCCGTCCTCCGCACGCGACGCCCTCGCGCTCCCCGCCGGCTGCCGCAAAGCGCCGCCCAGCGCTGTCGCAAAGCGCCACCCGGGGACGCGAAGGGGAGGGAGTCCTCCGACGTCCCACTCTGCACCGCGGCGCGGCTCTCTCTATTTCCCTCCAACCGCCTCGCGCTCCGCCGCTATCCCGGCGGGCCGTGCGCCAGAGCGTTTCCGCTTCGCCTCTCTCTCGTCTCCGGCTCGGCAGCCGCGTAGAGGACGGTCGCCAGGTCGTTGGCAGGGGCGAGTGAGAGAGGCCTTAGGGCGGGTCAGGCTCCGTCTCTGTGGAAAGCGGGGGGCACTGGTGGGGGAGGAGGGTCCGCCCGGAGCTATCCCTGTGTGGGGGAGGGGGCATCCCGGGGCGGGCGGGAGGGCGGGGAGCGCGGTGGCGGGAGGCCCCTTCTCCCCCCCCCCCCCCCCGGTGTTTCTGTTTCCTTGGCTGCACCGCATACGTCTTGTCCCGCTGCACAAGCCCCTGCGGCCTCCGCCTCCCGCTTCTCTCGGGCGCGCCCCGCCCACCCCTGCGGGTAGGGAGCAGCCGGCTCCCCGTGCGCTGGCGGGCCTTGCACGCCGCTGGCTCGGCAGGGGGGGGTCGAGTCAGTGGCCGAGTGGCGCTGAAGAGCCAGGCCTGTGGGAGGCCGGGCCCGGGAGATCGAGCTGGGTGCTCCGCTCTAATCAAGTGGGGGTGAGGTTCCCTACCAGGAAGAGATGATTTAATGACTGAAAGCTGATCTGTGCTGGACAGGACCCAAAATACAGACCGTCCGTGCTCCAGAGAGCTTCGTGCTAGACTGGAGGGGTCGTGCTAATTTATTGGCTTCTCAGTGCTCCCATCACTGTAGTGTCTGAGCATTTTGGAAACGTGAATGAATTTTTGTTTGGGATGCTTCTGGTGGGAAGGGTACAAACACAGAGATTGTAACTTACTAAAGTTGCAGTCTGAGTCATAGTCAGACATAGAATCCATGTTTATTTTAGTCCTAGATCAATGTTTCTAAATCAGTGGATTTTAGCTCCCCCCATGCCCCTGGGAAGTCCCAAAAGGCACAGGGGGGAGTGGTGTTGGAAAGTGTTGAAAATTTTATAACAATAATGCAAAGACAAGCTAGCTCCTCCACTTCCCCATACACCGTTACCTTTCAAGGTCATGTATTTTGTCAGCCTCTTGTAACACACACAGATTATATAGTCATATTATAATTGATACTTTATTTACTCTTTTATAGTAAATGTAAGGAAGTCCTGACAACTTTTAATAAGGACTCACCACATGAAGAGGTTGAGAAATCTGGCCTGAACCAATGCCTTTAATTATACAGTATTTGGGATTCATTGGGAAGCGCTGAATAAGGTGTCTAGGATTTTTCTAAATGTATTGATCTTATTGATTTGTCAAGATATCTTCATCACATTCTCCTCAAAATGTTAAAGAAAACAAATTTGCCTACAGAATTAAAACCCCAAAACAGCAGCATCTTGGTAGTGCAAATAATTATTTTTAAGTGGTTTTAGTAACATGGGCAAAATATATTAAATACTCATCTTCACAATGATCATTGGCATTGTGTCTTGTTTGAATGCTTGTTCCACTGTCAATCAAAATCTAGTTTTTCTGTTGCTAGTAGGCCTTGTAATGACTCCATGCACAAAAGGCTAGGGTATATTTCACAACTATTGAAATAAAAATCTTAATTATTTGTAACTTCCCCTTCCAAGATTGCATCTGAAATCTCTTTCCTTCTTATCACCCCTTCTGCCCACGAGCCCTGGTCTGTTGAAAGGTCATGAAAGCGTTGAGGGGGTTTGGGCAATTGTGATTTCTTCGGAGAAGAAGCCTGGAAAAAAACACATCGGTCTTCAAGTACATTGTTATATTCTAGTAGATGGAGAACAGCATTCTTCCAATTGTATCTATGAATTTGACATCTTTTAACTGGTAATTTTCTATTTTTTCTCCCCTTAGAATGTTGGCGTCTAGGGCATTTAGCCTAATTGGCAAGCGTGCCATTTCCACCTCCATCTGCTTGAGAGGACATGGTAGGTAACTTGTTTAATTTTAAATATGACTGCAGAAGAAACTTAACATTTTAGGTGCCTCTTCTTAAATCACCCAGTATGAGCAGCTTTAAACTTTGTAAAAACAAGCATTCTAAAGCCCAAGCTAATCACTGGTACAAATAGCAAAGACTGAAAGTCCTCTTAACAGCAGAAGCTGTTTTTTTTAAATGAAGTGTTTGGAAGCACTTCACAAGAGGATCACAGAATTGCATTTAAAGAATTTTTGTAACAATGGCCATTAAAAATGCAATTTATCCTCTCTTAATGTTCTTATATGCTGAGCAATATGAAATTTCTCTAAAAACTTGAGTTAAAAGTACACTGAGATCTGTAATTGTTCTGAATTCAGACGTAGCTCTGCTATAATAGCAATTTCTATGAGAGCCAAATGTGGTTTGTTGGCAGCACACCGTTATTTGGGAATATTCTTTTTTTTTGGTTGGTAATTTGGTACTTTAAGGATATTATTTATTGACCCAGCACCCAGGCTGGGCATTTCAAACTCAAGTGTGTTTGGAGAGGATGGGACATTATGCAAATATCAAGCAGTGACTGTGAAAACAAGGCAGCAAAAACCAAATCAAGGAGCGGTGATGCACTCTGATTTAAAATTTATCTACACTAAGGACTTGTCTATACTGGCAACGTTAAAGTGCTGTCGCGGCAGTGCTTTAATGTGGCTTGTGTAGTTGCGGCAGAGTGCTGGGAGAGGCCACAGCGGTTTTTTCACAACCCTGAGCGAGAAAGTTGCAGCGCTGTAAAGTGCCAGTGTAGACAAGCCCTAAAAAAACTACTTCAGCACAGCTGCACCTGAATTCTTCTGTCAACCTAGTGCTGTCTACACAGGGATTTAAATTGGCTTAGCAATGTCAGGGATGTGGATTTTTCACACCCCTGACAGATCTAAAGTGACCTAATTTGCTAATGTAGACCAGGCTTTACTTGTCCAGTAACTGATGATCTGTGCCATCACCAGTAGATGGCATCACAGAACTACAATAGCCTTAGAGCGATATTGGATTAATAGAACCTAGACAGGGTAATCTTATGAAATTGTATAGGAAAATATAACTTGAGTGCTTTCTAAATATTTAAAGGAAGATTGTCAACTTTAAATAGAGTAAAATTTTGGGAGGGAAAAAATAGTTGAAATTAGTTTCAGGTATTACAAGTTCCTTTGAGACCCTTTGCCAATTTTTGTAGTCTGAAAATATTTACTAATGGGTATTTAAAAAAATAAATAAATCTCTCCTTTGATGCTGTGATACACACACAGTACACAAATTGGATAAAGAATTACTCTTTTAATCTTTAAATTATAGTAATCTTACGTGTTTCTTATAACAACAGTAGTTGAAAAAAAATCAGACAGAAGCATTTCTCCCCTTTAAAACTTCTTACTTGGCTTTTTTTTTTTTTTTTTTTTTTTTTTTTAAAAAACCATAGAAGTTCAGGTGTGCTCTCTTGGTACTTTTGGATTCTGCACATGTGTACATTTGACTCTCTTATCTCTTAAGCAGGTGTTGCGAAAGTGGAAGACTTCAGTCTTCCAGGTTACACTGATCGTCGTGACATTCCTCTTCCTCAACTGGAATACGTAAGGAATCTATCTGCTGAGCAGAAAGCCCTGAAAGAAAAGGAAAAGGCATCATGGAGTGCCCTCTCTACTGATGAGAAGGTTGGATGTAGGTACTCGGGGCACTGGAAAAATAAAATACAACCCTACTGCTGAAGATGATGTAATCTGTTCTGTTGTGCATACAGTATTGATGGACATATCTCAGGAAACAGATGAACAAAGAAGGAAACCTCCAGCTCTCTAGTCTTAAGCCCTGATCCTGGAAATGGATCTGTGTGGGTGGAGACTCTTGGGTCAGTTTGGAGTCCCATTGAAGTAATTGGAACTCCTCTGTTGGCAAAAGCCCTCTTCTCCCCTCTCTTCCCCCCCTCCCCAAATCTGATTGCAGTATCAGTCATCTATTATAGCAATCTGAGTCCTGATTGTCTCAAAGGCTTGCCTTTTTTAACTCCCCGTGGTACACATTGATGCCTTAAACTCATTGTTAAAGGCCCCATGGTAGTTTGTATAAAGCTAACTCTGTTAGCAAATAGTGATGTAGATGCTGTGTCTTGGGGTTACTTGAATCACCCTGCAAGTTCTCTCCTTCACTTTGGGGTGTCCCAACTGATAGCTGTTCTTAAGAACGGCAAAGTAACTGCTCATTTTTGATTCCCAACTTAAGCTGTAATGAGTTTAGGCTGTATGCTATGGTCAAGGACCTCAAGCTGTGCATGTTGCCCTACTGCTTTCTCTGGTTTTCTGAGAATCCTCCTGCTCTTCTTAGAGCTTTAGAAGCTTCTGCTTCTTCCCCTGTCCTCCTCCTTTCTACTTTACACCCATTTTTCAGCTACCATCTGTGTGTCCGAATCCTTCAGGTGGAGGGGTCACTGCTGAGCAGTCAAAGGCACTTTTTAACTCCTGCAGGCTTAAGTTGCTGGCTGAAGGAGAGGGAAGCTGGTGAAACCCAGGTTTCACACTGGGTAGTGGAGAACATTTAACACCTCCCAACTCCCCTGCTTATGTAATTAGAAAAGCTGAGTTTGATTATATGATTCTTTATTCTGTGATGGGGAAACAGCTGGGAATATAATTTGTTTTCGCTTGTTGCTAACAGCAGCTGATATTAATTGCAAAGTATACTGCACAGAACGGAAATATTTGCATACTTTTAGTCTGTGATTAATAAAGTATTAAACCTTAACATTATTGGCTAAAGCTCAGACTTACACACAGTCATCTAGAGTTGCAGGTGAAACTGTATCTTTATACCAGTCTGTTGTGTTGAGGTATCTAGTGAGGGTTCCCAACATCTTGGGATCTATGTACAATGTGTACTGTCCTATCCTCTTTGCCAGTGGCATGAGTCTTACGCCACTTCACCATTGTAAGGTGTAATATGTTTGTCTTTCTGAAGCTTCTCTACATATAATAAATTATATTTTTCAAGATACCTTAAACATGGATGAAACTAAGACTCTTTAGCAGAGTAGAAATAGCCTTTTAAAAAACCTCAAATGCAATTCAGCCCCCAGAGTAGCTGCAAGACAATTCCTGTTAAAACAGAAGAACTATGCATGGAGTCAGGAGATGTGGATTTTATTCCTGATAGTGTCACTCACTCTGTGACCTTGGGTAAGATCATACAATCACTACAGTGCCCTTGACTTTCCCATGTACAAGTGAAGCTGAAAATAGTGTCTGAACTCAGAGGTGTGATGAAGCTTAATGTGTGTAGAGTGCCATGAGATCTTTGTGTGGAAGATGGTCTAGAACTGAAAAGCTGTTATAACTTCTGTGCAATCTAGAACAGCTCTATAAATTAGTTTCCTCTCTCTATATATACCCTACGCATGCACAGGGATTTCAGCCACTTCTGTGCCAAGCTGAGTGATTCATACTGTTTGTTTGAAAAGGGGGATTAAAATAGATATGGCACAGCTGAATTCCACTATCTGTAAACTTGTGGAGAAAATAAGCGATTAAAAAATATTCCAAAAACCTAATAGACTCAAACAAATGTACTGTAGTTTCTGTAAGATGTATGTTCAGTCTCAGGAGCCATGTGCTAGTTGTTAAAACTCAGGGGAGAAGTCTTTTGTGCAGCTTACAAATAATGCAGTAAAAAAGATTGATGCTCTCTCCTTTTCAGTGTATCGTATCAAATTCTGTGAGACCTTCGCTGAAATGAATAGGGGATCAAATGAGTGGAAGACTGTTAGTGGTGGTATGCTCTTCTTCCTTGGCTTCACTGCCTTAATTGTCATTTGGCAAAGACTGTATGGTAAGTAAACAACATGTTCTTAATTCTTACACACTAGCTCATACCTATTTTCAATTTAAAATTTTTTTTCCTACCGTAAACTGTGCTTAGAACTCCAAATCTTGCATGATGCTGATAGACACTGATTCAGGAAATGCTGAAACCTTAAGCCATACTGGTTTCTACAAGGTTCTTTCCTATCCGCTTTAAGCAGGTAAATAACTTAACCATCCAGGAATCTTAATCAGATGTGTTTGGGGAAATCGTATTAGTGTACCAGTGATCACACAGCTTCCCCTTCCTCCTTCAAAACACAGTCCCCATGCGGTAGAATCAAAACTCATCCCCTTCTGAGAGTTTGGCTTTATTTACAAGAAAACTAAGAACCATAAAGCAGACTCCAGCCCAAGCCTTCTCAGCATGCTTGGCTGCTCCTAGGGTTCCTCTAACCCTCAGAACTGCCCAGCTCAGATCCTTTCTCTCAAAGATAGCCACTCTTGCTCTCCATCACAGAGAGCAGTTAACTGAACCACCCACAACAGTGAGTTGGCAGGACTCCTCTTGCATCTCCCTGCTGTCCTGACATCTGCTAACAAGGTGAAGTACAGGAGAAGGTTGCCCCTTCTTACAGCATCCGCGCCAATCAACAAATCAGTAACTGGACATTTAGAATTCATGCAGGAAACTAAATAGATTTTATGGGACTTATTCACTGGGTGGGTATTTTAGTGTGCATTATCAGCTTTGAGTTGATAAAAGTGCATTTTTCATGAGATCAAATAGATGGCATTGAACATCGTTGTGTCACAATAAAATCCCAACTGAATTTTGAATTTCAGTTTATGGTCCTGTTCCTCACACCTTCTCTGAGGAATGGGTGGCTATGCAGACCAAGAGAATGCTGGACATGAGAGTTAACCCAGTCGAGGGCTTCTCGGCCAAATGGGACTACGACAAGAACGAATGGAAGAAGTAAAATCACTCCTGGGATCACTGGACCTGCTGTCCACTTGAATTTTAAATGATTCCATTACCTACATGTGACCTCACTGCTTATGTACTGGAACAAACTCCATTTAAATGATAATAAATGTCTGGTTTACTTGAAAGTTTCTTGTATTGATCTTAAATGCTTTCAGTTGTGTAGGCTGTAATGATTAGTACAATTTTCTAAGGGGCAAAGTCTTTCTAAGTACTACTGAATTGTCGTGGATTGATGGCACAGCATTACAGGTTCAGTAAAAGGGAATGATACACCCGTGTGCCCAGTTATTTTTAATTTAGGGGGTCTTATTTTATCAGAGAATAACACCAAAATTAAAAATGCAGTTTAAAAAGCTCCAGTACATGACCTCACCCTCACTTATTTTACCGAAATAGTGATGTTTCATGCCGCTGTGTACCAAGTGCTTTTATCTAAGCCATTGGCCCTGGAAATCCCAATATTAAGTGGTGGTTTAGCTTTCATTAGCACAAAGCATTTGGAATTCTTGTGGCAAGGGTTTAACAGAAACAGTCTGAAGAAAATGTATCTAAAGTGTTTCTGTTGCACAGCCAGAAATCATTCTGGCTACATAAAGATCTGAACTGCATTCGGTACAAGCAGATCACAGCTTCCAGGAAAGCTGCTGTGGGCTATCTTCGTCCACAGATAGAATTTCAGAGTGCAGAACACAGTCGCTTGACAGATTTCAATCTAACTCCATTTCCCCCTCCCCCCCCGCCCCCTTTTTTTTTTTAAAAGGAAACTTGGCTAAGAATTTTCATTGTCTAGCTTCTGACCTCCGTTTTCATTCTGACCCATCGTCAGTTCCACACTTATACTGTCATTTTTGGAGGGCAGGGGAAGTTTATAATAAAGTGGGATAAGGAGAGGCCTCTAGCTCATCTGTGCTTGGGCCTGGACTATTTTGTTTTTTAAATGCAAATTAACAAAACTTACTTGAGGGAGAAGAGAAATATCCAAGATGTGGCAGTGACTATATTTCAGTATACACATTTTAATATTTACAGTCAGCCTCTCATCCCAGAGGGTGACCGTGTAGATGGATTGCTTCTTCATCTCTGGAAGAACATCAGCAGCACTAAAGTTTTTAGAAATGAGTAATACCTTCTCCAACAGGAATGAGCTGTTTACCTAAAATCCCTTTGTATTTACCTAAACTTGGTCTGAACTCATTCCAAGGTCATACCCTTTCTCTTGCAGCAATGGCATAATGTGTGAAGCAATTTAGATGTAAAAACAATGTGTCCAGCTGGGCAGGGGGAAGTGCTTCAATACTATGGTGACTGGTGCTAAACAAATCCTAAGGTAGCTAATCAGTGCCCCATAACACATCACGATGTCAATGGCATGGTGGAGTGAGCCACCTCTGGCGTCACTTTCTACATCCTGTAGCTGCTGGATTTTCCCTAGGGAGACCCCTATCTAACAGTGACCTGTGTCATAAAATTCCTGTGGGCAAGTCTTCGGGCCAAAATATTTAAAAGTGGTCTCGGTTTGTGCACGTTAAAAAATCCCACTCAAGCATGGTACCCAAAAATTAAAGTGTTTTACAGTAACTTTCTTTGTCAGTTTCCCTGCCTGCAAACTAGGAGACAATGCTTCCTCTTTGCAGGGGGGTGTCCTGATTCTAAAGCCAGTCACGCGTTTGGCATTCCTGTGCTGGGGTGAGGATGGTCAGAGAGAAAGGTATACATCAAATAATTCCTGGTCCCTTCCTTGTGCATATCCGATGTCTACTGTACCAGAGGTCAAGTGGTCAATCTTTGTTTCAGGAAATGAACTTTTCAACGTGCATTTAATATAACAATTAGGGGGAGATTTTCAAAGGCAGGCAGATGCCCCACTCCCATTGACTTTCAAGGGAAGTTACTCTGAAACCTGTCAAGGGAAGTTGTGTATCAAACTCATCTTTGAGCATTTTGAAATGTCTCCATCTATGTACACCGGGCTACCACAAACTACTGGAATGTATATCACAGAGGTGAGTGTCGTATGGTCAGTTTAGCAGATTCACCATGTTAGTTGGTGCAAAATTCTGTTGCTCCTGACTCTCAGCCTGGAAGAGAATGACAACAGTGAAATTCAAAGGACCTGTCAGTATCCTGTCAACCAATGTTGGTGCCTTTTGTGGGTCATGTCAATTCGATACACTTTTTTTTTATTTTTCAGCCTAAATAGGGGCATTGTCATACTCTTCCCCCGCTGCCCCCCCCCCATCTGTTTTGGGAATTAGAATTAGGTCGCTACCATTTTATTGTTTCCAGAGAATCTGATTGACTTGGAAGATGATGATTTAGGGGATAATGCGGACATTCCATCCAATGCTGGAGTGTAGATATCTGATTGCCCGGTTTTAACCACTATGCTGAACTGCTGCTGCTTTGTTTTTCTCAGTGCTAAGGGCCTCTGTTGTGTGCTACTGACGCTTTCACAGTGAAAAGTAATTTTGTGCCTCTTCAGAAGAGAGTTTGTTTCGGCTTCCTTGGAGGGGTTGATTGGTCTAACACCTCCCTTCTCCCTCAGGGTTCAGAGAGTTAGTGTTAGCAGCCGTGTTAGTCTGTATTCGCAAAAAGAACAGGAGGACTTGTGGCCCCTTAGAGACTGACCAATTTATTTGAGCATAAGCTTTCATGAGCTACATTTACTTGAACATCTCTTTCCCCTCTTCCCTCCTCATTGCAAAAAATATCATTTAAATACCATGGGCCAAATTCAGACTGTATTTCTTTGTAAATCTGGAGTAATTCCACAGGTGAGAGAGACATGCTTTGGAGCTTACAGGGAGCTCTTCAGGTCTGGGAAATACAAGGTGAAACAGATTGTTTAGCAGCAGTTAACATATTTCAAGGGATTATTCATGGTGAAGTGGCCTATTAACACCCCTCCATCATGGGGAGGGCTGTTAGTTACAGTAACCCAGCGCTAGGGGTTAATTCTCTAGTTATAACCCTGATAGTTGTAAGAAGCCATAAATCCAGGGTCTCACTTCAGTCCATGATTTTTAGTGTCTAGCAAAGTTACGGATTTAAGCTTCCAGGCTCATCTTTTGAAGCTGTGCCGTTTCCCTTTGCGGAGGTGGACTGACAGGTCATAGATAGGGATCGCTTTGTGAAAAGTGTTCGCCCAGGTGGGGGGGTGGTGGTCTTGTCTTCTATCATTTCCCTGCGTGAGTTCATTCGCGAGCGTGCACTGCATGCGTAGGAGCCATGGATCTTGAAAGGGGCGTTGATCATGGTGGCAGTGGAGATTTGTCTGACGATAGCTTAAGTGAGAAGAGAACCCAGCCCTAAAAAAGGAGAGAAATGAATTGGTTCGGTAGGAGGTATAGTCCAGACAGCACCTTAGCAGAATGTTGCCCACCAGGTGAGCTCAGTTTTGCCAGGAAGCACTTGGGAAAGCAGTGAACAGATGTCTGGAGCAGATGGTGAGGGGAAGGTAGTGGGGGGAGGGAGATTTAAACTGTCTGTCAGGTGAAAGGGACAGAATGCAGCAGCCCTGGGGATAATAGCCAACTGCAGGCGGGTAGGTGTCCTGCTGAATGCCCTGGAAATCTGCATCAGCATAGGGATTGCTTGCTGCTGCTTTGGCCCGGCATTAGCACAGACAGTGTCTCACTAAAATATTTAAATCCTCTTCCTGTGCTACATTTCTGCACCACTACCGAGCTTCTGAGCACCTTCCTTTGCTGCAGCAGCTGCTGCAGTGAGATCCAGGACTGGACTGGCAAAGGAGAGGGGAAAGGCACCGTACTGTGATGAGTGAATGACTAACTCCAAAAGCTTCCCCAGAGCCGGTGTGCGTGCGAGAGTCTCCAGAGGGACAGGGAATCCGGAAGAGAAACTGGAGCCACACACATCCTGGGAACCTTCCTTCGTCCAACTCTGCCCTGCACTGGCTGTAGTGCTCAGTGCTCCCTCGTCCCACTGAGACCTAGGCAGAGCTGCTGCAGCTGGCAGGTGAGCTGAATTTGCTAGCGCTTTGTAAACTCCTACCTAGTGCATGCAACCCACTCTCTCCTCTTGGCAGCTGCCCACACAGCTTTGGTTTGTCCTTTTTGGAGGAGGCAGATCTCACTGTCCTGATTTGTTTCTTTGCAGGGAGTCCTGGTTACTGAGAGGGAACCTGTGCCCTTTGCCTGGGGAAAGCGCTGTCATGGGGACTGGAATGAGCAAGGTACATTCACCTCAACACTGCAGCTGTTACATTTGAGGCAATAACCCTGATGCTTATGAAGAACCTTTTACTCCTGTCCAGCCTGCTGCACTAGCCAGTAAGGAAAGAGGGGATGCCCTAAATGTGATCTGATAAGTCTTTCCCTTCTATGCCCTGTATGATTCTTACAGCTTAAAGAAAAGGAGGACTTGTGGCACCTTAGAGACTAACCAATTTATTTGAGCTTAAGCTTTCGTGAGCTACAGCTCACTTCATTGGATGCAAACTGTGGAAAATACAGAAGATGGTTTTATACACACAAACAATGAAAAAATGGGTGTTTATCACTACAAAAGGTTTTCTCTCCTAATTTCTTCTATTTCTTCTAATATTACCAGCAGGAGAGTGGGGTAGGGGGAGAGAAAACCTTTTGTAGTGATAAACACCCATTTTTTCATTGTTTGTGTGTATAAAAACATCTTCTGTATTTTCCACAGTATGCATCCGATGAAGTGAGCTGTAGCTCACGAAAGCTTATGCTCAAATAAATTGGTTAGTCTCTAAGGTGCCACAGGTACTCCTTTTCTTTTTGCGAATACAGACTAACACGGCTGTTACTCTGAAATCTCACAGCTTAGAGGCTTACTGTAGTTTTCCCTGGGAAAAGAAAAGAGATTTTTAAAACAAGCAATGATTCTTGGATTGCTTATACCTAGATAGTAAACTCCTTGGGGTAAGGACTGTCTTTTTGCTCTGTGTTTGTACAGCATCTTGCAGAATGGAGTCCTGATCCAGGACTGGAGCTCCTAGGTGTTACCACAATACAAATAAATAATTTCCTGGAAGGGAATGATAAAACCATTAGGAAAAAACGTTAAAGTTAGACTTGGTCTGGACCTTCATTTCTTGTTCTTGGGGTAATAAAAACTCCACACCATTAGCATCTTTAAAGCCAGTACTCACCAATCCGGTGAGCCTATTAAACCCTAATTCACTATTGTGCCCATGTGAGAGGGAGTGAGGTTGTATTTTCCCCATTTTTTAGCCAGTTATATATATTTTTGGTCTGTTGCTGTCACCTGGATACGATTCATTGGGAGAGAAAGAAGATTTTGATGGGGTGTTTGTTACTCTAGTGCAGGCAGTGGAAGGATCGATTACTGTTCATGTCCCTAAATAACTGGGAGAGGCATGACTTATCTAATTTAAAATTAGATCCTGGAACTAACATAGAGACACCGGATCAGCACAGACTCTTGCCACCCTGTTCTCATGCTGCTGCATCGTAGTATAACACCAGTTTCACAAACAGGATGGCTGGCATCCCTGCAAGAAAGGTGGGGGCTTTTGTTTTATGAGAACTTCTCTAAAGACAGCCTGGATTTAAAAGTTGTCACTCGTCTGACAAACTGTGGCCCTGGTCCTGCAATAAGAGCTCTGCAGGGGATACCCTTTCAGGATTGGGGCTTATGTCTTATGGCTCCAAATGCAAACCTCAGAACTGAAAACTCGAGGGAAGATCAGAGCTGAGTATTTGGGGACTTGCTACCCTGGCAGATCCAGCGCTCTGCTAACAGCACTTTTATCTCCCGGGGGAGGGGGGTAGGTAGGTGCAAAAAGAACGAGGAGGACTTGTGGCACCTTAGAGACTAACAAATTTATTTGAGCATAAGCTTTCGTGGGCTAAAACCTACTTCATCGGATGCATGCAGTGGAAAATACATATATACACAGAGAACATGAAACAATGGGTGTTGCCATACACACTATAACAAGAGTGATCAATTAAGGTGACAGGTTTCAGAGGAACAGCCGTGTTAGTCTGTATTCGCAAAAAGAAAAGGAGTACTTGTGGCACCTTAGAGACTAACCAATTTATTTGAGCATGAGCTTTTGTGAGCTTTCGAAAGCTCATGCTCAAATAAATTGGTTAGTCTCTAAGGTGCCACAAGTACTCCTTTTCTTTTTGCAATTAAGGTGAGCTATTACCAGCAGGAGAGAAAAATGTGTTATCCATGGGGCATCAACACTAATACAGAACTCAGATTTCTAATTCAGAGCCATTTTTAGGTCCTCTACTCCTCTTTTGAGAGCTCAGTAACTCCATACAGCCATCAGAATCAAATAATACATATTTTTACACATTTTGGGGACCTATTCCACTGTTAATTCTTGTGGTGTTCAAAGTGGATTAATTATTAGGAATAATTTTTTCCCCCTTTTGTGAGATTTTTCTACCCTAAGGTGTGTTGTGGCCTTACCTACTGCTGACTGGGTTTATTATACATAATGATTGGACTTTTATGGGGATAATATAGCTGTACTTTGTCATTGTTACAATAACTTCAGTAGTCCTAAGTAAAAAATACATCTGAACTGTTCTTCCTGTGTTAAAAGAAGACACTGAGGTGTAGCGGATTGAGGTATAGGTAACATGTATGTTGCAGGGCAAATCTCGGGGGAAGGGATATGTTTCCGGGGTAGGTAGTGGCTCTGCAGCGGTGACTAAGCCAGATGACAAGGCGAAAGCATGGCTTCCCTCTTTGTGTCCATAGCCAGAGGAGGGAACAGCTAAACAAGTGAGATGAGTCATGTTGCAGCAGCCTCAGGGAGAGATCTCTGCCTCTCTACAGGACAGAAAACACGTGCACTGAGTTGCCAGTGGAAGGATTATTTACTAATGCTTTAATTTTAGTATCCAAGTTTCTGCATGAGAGATCAGGAGTTTTAGTGATGATTTGTAGAAGCACAGAGAGTAGATTTAAATAATTTAAGCAGCTCGACGGCATTTACATATTTATTAGCCAGGGAGACAGCGTAGAGGGTTTGTCTCTGTGCTTTTCTTCTAAGTTAATATTTGCATCACACAAACTGCAAACTTTTCTGATTTAGTAGAAACCAGACTGAATGACAGAGCAGGTCTGGACTTAGGTAGAGTCCATTTCCACTAAATGTGCTGGTGTGACATTTCTATGTACAGAATGTCTTAGCATTAGGGCTCCTAGCATCCAAATGACGTTACGAACCTGTGCCATGATCACTTGGGAAATCAGCAGTGTGGCTACAATTCAGATCCTCCTACTCCAAAAGCAGGAGTAGCAGACTACTGCCATCTTAATTGAAGGAGAATCTGTTAGTTATTAGCAGTGTGGGGCCAATGATACACAGTTGCACTGTTCTGATTTCTTTTAGTAGATGGCAGTGGTACACATATATGCTACACGGTTCATTACACTAATTAGCACTAGAACTGGTAGAAAAAACAGGAGAAAAAAAAATCACAAACAAAATAAACAATTTGAAAAATTTCAGCAGCTTTTCATAGTACATATGATCTTAAAGAACTCTGCAAACACTAACTCCCTATTTCCACACAACAACCCTTCCTCATATGTGCTCATGGCCCTTTGCCCCTGTTCCAACTGTACATCAAAGCGGGGTCCAGATTTCATGGTGCTTCAAAGGTCGAGGGCTGACTGGAATAAAAGCAAGAGCTTACAGGGCATTCTGGGTGGTTGAGGACAGGCTGCAGCAGGACCCTGATCTGAGACGGGGAAAGGAAACCAGTATTGTCAGACCCAAATGTTCAAAAACCATGAGTCCAGCCCCTCCCCCAAATCATGATAATTGGCTTACAACATGAGGTTTTAAATAAATAAAAGTTCGTTCATTTTAATTTGCCTTATGGCTTTTGAACCTTTAAGGTACTCTGGCTTCCTGCCTTTCTCTGCAGCCGTGAGGGCTAGCAACTCGCTGGTTTTGAAAGTGAAGGCTGAGACCCTTCCGCAATAGCATGGGGCTGGCGGTAGGGAATTTATGAAAAGTGCTAGAACTTACTAGACTCGTGAGAGTTGGTAACACTGCAGAGCCCCAGATCACGGCTGCTGTTTCCTTTGAGGGTTGTGAGCCGAGATAGTGCAAGGCTTCAGAGCAGCCCTTCGCAAGAAACTCAGGGAAATATTTACCCTCCAAGGAAGGATCCTGAAAAGCCTTTCTCAGGCTGTATGTAAGGAGCCCTGCAGCAGCCAGGGTGACCTGCATGGCCTAAGGGAACTTGCAGACCCAGCAAAGTGTATTATGATTTTAGTTACAAAAAGAGCACCCTGAGCCCCATAAGGAGGAGCTCTCTTATCTCAGCCCCTAGGGGGACACATCTCTGGGGCCCAGTCCCAGCCTTAGCGCAACCCAAGGGCGGTCCCCATGCTGTCTCAGGCCTTGGGCACGCAATCATAGCTTGATAACTAGCGCTTTCCTCTATAGTTCTCTGCAATGCTCCCACTTGTGCAGGAGGCCCAACGGCTAGTCAGAGGTTGAAAGGAACTGCCCCCACTGACTCAGGGCCTCGCACCTTCCATCAGACAGTGAAAACTACACCCCATTTTAAGGCCTGCACACAGTCAGGGGCCCTAGGCCTAGGCCAGCCCCTGGAGCCCAGGTAATTTGCTTACCAGCAGCAGAATTTCAAAGGCAAAGCACAAACCCCTTAGGAAAATTAAGGGGGAGAGGGAAGAGGATGCTCCCAACTCCCCCCAGTAAGACTAAAATTTTCTTCATCAGTGTGAATAGCTACCACTGTCCTGGCCTGTTGATCGATAGCCTGGTCCAGGCCTGCTCCATGCCTGATGAGCAGGAGGAGAGGCAAGGTACTTCCCCAGTAAAGAAGTAGCTGGCATAGGGAGGCATTATGCCCTCTCGCCTTGGCAATATGTTTCCTCCACCACAGCGATGAGCTTTATCAGACATTACTTACAGCAGCCAGCGTTCTTGCTAGGGCTCCAGAGAGAGTCATCCATGCACAGACAGGAGCCAGGCAGCAAGTGGAGGGCATCTCAGCTAGCGCAGGGGGATACATGACTGTGCAGAGAGAGATGCCCAGCTGGGCAGTAGGTAGGGTAACCTGCACCCCAGGGTGAGGTGGGGCTGTGCAGCCATCAAATGGTGTCCCACGGGAGTTCCCAGCGAGGGAGCAGGCAGTATGTTTCCCAGCAACCCCACGAAGATGCCCAGCTGTGCATCGCTCTAAGTTGCCGAGGAGATATACAGCTTTGCTATGACTACCAGAGCCCTGCTTTTCAGCACTTGGCGTTTTCCTGCTGGGTGGGGACTCATACCTGCTGCAGGTTTGTTTTGTCCTGTGCCAGATGCTGCCTGTAGTTAGGGACTCAAAGCTGCCAGGCCCGGAATCCCTCTTAGCTACCTCATCTCTCTGATTGTGGGCTCAGTCAGGTCCCAGCAGAGCGATGTCTTTTCAAGTCGCCTCTGTGTAGAGCGTGACCTTGAGGCAGGGATCCATTCCCGACTGTAGCGATGTCCTCGCAAGGTCCTCCAGCTGGCTGCAGGGAGCGATCAGTCATGATGACGCTGCCAGCTTGGCTGTTCTACCAGGAGCAACACAGTGCTTGAAGACAAAGTGCCTGGTTTCTTTTCCTCCCTCCTCTCTCTTAGCTCCTTAGAAGGGCAAAGAGTTCAGTCCTCTGATGTCACGAGAGCTAAAGCCACTGCATAGCCAAAATCATTCCCAGACAGAGTCTAGACATGGCCAGTCACTGATCATAAACCATAGGCCCTGTAGGCCAGCCCCAATACTCTGAGCCACCTGGCCCCTGGTAACTCTGCTCCTCCGGCCTTTGCCTTTCTGATGATACACTAGAGGAGCAGAGCTCAACTAAGCAGCTGCGCTGCCTCTGTCTCATCTCCCATTGAGGTGGGGCCGTGCTGGGGGAAGGCAGGAGGAGCTGAGGAGCTCCTGCCTGGAAACCCCCCAGGCTGCAGGGCCTTGTGTGAGGCCTAAACAGGTTCTGGGGCTGCAAACGAGCAGCCTGGGGCTGGGTAGAGGCATTAGGTCCTACCTCCCCTTGCCTATGATGGCTGGCTTATACAGACTGCAGTTGGCCCCAGTGAAAGGGGGCTAGATGGTGACTAGCAGTAGCCCATAGGCTGAGGCAAGGTGGGATTTGGGGGTTTCCCTGGGGAGAGGAGACCCAGAGACTGTGAGGGTACTGCCAGAGGGCAGACCCTCCAGACAAAGGGGCACCGGGGTCTGGAAGGGACGTGAGGGCCAGCAGTGGTGAGGACACCGGCCTGCAGAGGGCGCTCCGGAGCTGGAAAACAAGCTAATTCCCAGCAGGAGACAGCCAGCCAGCAGGAAGCGCTGCGGAGATGAGTCTTGCATTGCTATAGGAAAGTATTAAAAATAGCCCAGGCCTTTCCACCTCTTCCCAGCCCTGGATGCGTCCCCAGAGCCAGCGCTTAAAACTCTTTGCAAGAGGTCGTTGCTATAGAAACACAAAACAAAGTCCCAGTGTCTCTTGGCACAGCCCTGGCTCATCATCGTTTAAAGTCAAGCCAAGTCTCTTGAAAGCTCATGGCAGGTGCTGCTTGTGTTTTGGTTGCCATGCAACTTGACATGCGCATGGAGCTCGGCAGCGGGTCGGGTGATCTGGTTTGGCATTTGGGCTGCATTCCCCATCGGAGTCACTGGCTGGTTGGATGAGTTTTGTTGCCTCTTGCAGCGTTGTCAGATGGTTAACATACTGGATGCTAGGAGAGTGGACAGCCCGGGACATTGGGATACAGGAACCTTTAGCTTCTGCTGCAGCTCACGGGATTGCTGGTGACCTTGGATCACCTGGGGGAAATGAGCTGAGATTCTCAGACCAGTTCCTGGTGCTCAGGTGTCCTCATAACACCACCTTCGCAGCTGGCCCCCTCATTGGCAGCCTCAAGTGGAGAGGCCAAGGGCTGATTGGGCCATGGAGACTGAACTCCCGTCTCACCCTTTGAACTGGACTCACCCTGTAAAGGTGGAGACGCATTGACTTGGCAGCATGGGGGCAAGCTGGTCCTGCCACAGCGCATAAGGTACCTGCTCTGGGGATTAAGCAGTGGGCTTAAATTGCAGCAAGGGTGCTTTAGGTTGGACATTAAGAAAAACTTCCTAACTGTCAGGGTGGTTAAGCACTGGAATAAATAAATAAGCATAGGAAGGTTGTGGAATCTCCATCATTGGGGATTTTTAAGAGCAGGTTAGACAAACACCTATCGGGGATGGTCTAGATAATCCTTAGTCCTGCCATGAGTGCAGGGGACTGGACTAGATAACCTCTCAACGTCCATTCCAGTCCTATGATTCTATGTGTAAAAATGTAAGCCAGCAAACGAAACGTGTTAACGTCAAAGACCTAAGTTTGACTGAACTCTATATTTCTCCATTGCTGGACTAGCGTTGGGCAAGACACCCAGAGTCTTTGATACCACTAGAAATTTTTACACCCTAATGCAGTTTGTTTGCTTATTAATTAAGATGGTTTTTAATTATACACATAGCTTATAATTTCTCCAAAGGGTTTGTAACCCCAGGTCCTGATCCTACAAGCCCTTATGCATGTGTTCAACGTGAAGCCTGTGATCATTCCCGTTGAATTCATGCCATGGGACAAATCTTAGGCTTCAAGCGAAGCATGTACGTGTTTGCTGGATCAGGGCTCGAGAGAAGCAAGCATGTGCTGGGAAAGGAGGGAACGAAACAAACAAGAAAAAGTCAGTTATTCCCTTCTTTCCCCTGTGTCAGGGGTTCACTACTCCCTGCTGGGGCGCCTCCTTGTGGCTGTGTCTAGGGAATAGCTCCGCCTCTGACACCCCCTTCCATGTCTCATTCGCGCTGAGCCCCCCCTCACACTTTAGGAGTTGCAGTGCTTTCCCGTTGAGACTCAGGACGCTAACTCTTCGGGACTGGGCCAGGTCATTCTAGCAGTCCCTTTCCTGGGTATCAAAGTCTCACCAGACTGGCTGTCCGGGTATCACTCCCAACAGTCCTCCAGTTCAAGGCTAGGCCACTTCATTTGTGGCTAGAGGGGAATCCGGGCCTGCCTACTACTCAGGTTTCCAGCCTAGAGACCTTACAGTCAGCAGCCAGGGTCTGCTCCGTCCCAAACCTTGCCGCTGTTTCCCTGGACTGCTTCCTACTCTCTCTATCAGGCTTCCTTATCCACAACCCTCCCGAATAGGTGCACCCTTGTCTTAGGGTCAGTGTCCCAGGGCTTCTACTCTTCCCCTGGGTTTCTCCTTCATTCCTCTCTAAGCCAGGAGAGTGACTGCAGGTTTCCACGCTGCAGTCTCCTTCTGCCTTCATGCTTGGCCTTATACCAGCCCCCTGCTCCTGCTCAGCCCGGTGAGGCTTATCAGGTAACTTAACCCCTTCTGAGCCACATTAACCCTTTTCAGGCTAGTGTGGGGTGAACGCCCCGTCACACCTCAGCCACTGCCATAACCTCAGCATCTGTCAGACTGTTAAACCCTTTGGGACCACCGAGCACACTGCTGACTCAGCAAATCACGGTAACAACACAGCACCCTTTGTGTTAGTCATTGACTGACTGCACCACAACCTGCCCTCACTCCAAACAGGAGACACGCTGCTCCTTGTAGTCTGGTGCCCTCTCTCTGTCACAGGCCAGAGCCTGATGCTTTCTAAGAAGGCACCTCTAGCCCTTAGATACCTGCTCATTGTGCAGTGCTGTAACTGGGGATCACCGCAGACCACCACATGTCTCCCCCTAAGCATGAGGTTTCGTTGCATAGCTAGGAAGAATGGTAGGGGTCAGAAATGATCCAGCCCACCTTTTAAAGTCCAGCCACAGGATTGGTGCCAGGCCGAGCGACATCATGATCACAAGGTTTAATGTCACCCTTGGTATTATTGCATAATCCTGCAATTCACCTGCTCCAGCATCAGGATTCTTACAGTGAGGCCACTCTGACATCTCTCCTTTCTCTGTCTCTTTCTCAGGTTGTTGAGGGCCTCTACCTGGGAAACATCCGGGGTAAGTATCTTTCACTCATTCCCTCTCCCAAGCACCATGGGAGATTGTTGACCGAGCGCGATCAGTGCACTCGGTGTTGTACAGGAGGACATGGTTCCTGCCCCACCAAGTAAAGAGTCCAAGGGCCTGATCCTATCAGGTACTGAGTGCCTCCTGCAAGGGGCTGAGCATCCTCAACTCCCAGTGATTTCATTGTGAGTTGAAGTCTCTCCACACCCACCCAGGACTGGGCCCTTATGAGCCAGAGGCTGTATAAATGGGCCACGCGCTATGAAAAGGACACTCCTTCCTTCCCAAGGAGGCTTTCTTCTCAAGGCTCTAGAGAGACCCCCCCCCAAGTAGGGCCTGGAAGTGTTTTATGTATCTCTTTTACTGCTGATGGCACGGTCATTCCGCTTTGGCTGGGCCAGTTTTTCCACATAGCGTTAGGAGGATGAGGAGTAAAGAGAAGAGGCAGGACGAGTGAAAAAAGTTGAAAAGAAAATGAACTACAGAGCTGAATAGGGCTGCCAATTTTTGTTGGACATGTTCCTGGAGGTTTCATCGCATGACATAATCTTCCATTAAAGATTATTCTTTAATACCTGGAGACTCCAGGACAATCCTGGAGGGTTGGCAACCCTAGAGCTGAGGCTCTTTGGACAATGTTAATTCTGTTTTCAATCTGCGTGCTTGGCATGGAGATGGCAGCCAAGTAGAATTTACCAGGTTGGTTCCCTGAGCTTATGAGAGCTAGCACGGTGGAGTATGTGCCCCGGGTTGCAGACCTAACCTAAGTAAACCCACCCCCCAGGTTACCAGCTCCTTGTGTCGGCACTGCTGAGACTGGTGGGATTCTAGCAGAGAGGCAGGTTGCTTGATGTTCTCATTTGCATATCATTAGCCTCATGCCTTTCCAGCTTGCAGCTGTTCTCTGGGAAGAGGCTGAGAGGCACCAGGGTGCTTTGTCTGATGACAGATATGAAGTGAATTTAAGTGTTCCTCAGGAGGGCTGGGCAAATGGGGATAATTAATTATGAGATGAACCTTTCAGAACTGCCATGCCATTGCTGCTATGAAATATTGCCAGTATACTGTCTGTGGGCCCTCTCTGGGCACCTCACAACCATTAATGTGTTTATCCTGTGACGGAGGGCAACTTAGGTGCTGGCCCTCAGGATGCTGGGGGTGTGGCAGCACCCTCTGGCTTGAAGTGGTTTCCACCATATACCAGATTTATAGTTTGGTTCAATGGCTCTCAGCACCCTAACTGTTCAAATTGTTCCAGCACCATGGGAGGGCAGTGCTATTAACCCCATCATACAGCTGGAGAACTCAGGCACAGAGAGATCATGTGACTTGCCCACAGTCACATGGGAAGTCAGTGGCAAAGCAGGGGATTGAAGCGGGGGTCTCTGAAATGGCCCACTAGTGCTCTAACCACTGGACCATCCTTCCTCTGTGTGTGTTTTCTTTTGTCCATCTGATGTGTTGATCTTAGGTTTCTTCATCTCACTATCCCCGTACTGTCTGAGAGCCGAGCAGGGAATGTAAGCATTGTGTGCACTAGGCAGAGATTCCATAGCAGGTTGGCTCAGTTTACAAATAAAACAAAATATTTTCTGGTGCATTTTTAAAGGCTGGTCCTGCAAACTGCACTGTAAGGCCGCTCGCTACCCATTCCTCCTTTACATGTCCCCACCGGACCCAGCTCTATGAAATCAGCTGTGTCAAGGGAGGGCAGATGTCACTCCATCTGTTTGTAATCAGGTAAAGAATCCCAAATGTGTGTCTCTCCCTAACCCTTGTATGGTATCTATTAGAGTATATGCCTACCCCCACACTCCCCAACCTCTCACACCCCTTAACTTCTTCGACTGTAAACTCCTTAGGGCAGAGTCTCTGGTTTTGTATGTGTTTGTACAGCTCCTAGCACAACCAGGGCTTCTGGGTGCTACCATAATATAAATATTTAAAGAATAATAATACCCAGCTGATATAATCTGCCTATTGCATTTATAGGGGACCTTAAAGAGATGTCACCCCTATGCTCAAACACACCTATAAGGAACCAGCAGTATATGGGCACTGCAATATATAGGCACCAAAGTCTTTATATTTACACTAGCATAACATGGAGCCTGCTGTGTATCCCAGGGCTTAGCCACTCAGGCTGGGTGTTTTGTATTTATTTTGTAAGGGTTGTTTTCCAGGCAGCCCTGCACTTTAAGCATGAAGTCCGGGTGTCGCTGTGGGGTTGCCTTGTATGCCACAGCAGACAGCCTGCATTTCCCGAACAGGGTGACATTTTTTCCAGAGGACGTGAAGGGCTGGGTTCGGTTCTTCAGTGATTCACACCCCCCGGATTTCTCTCCCCTAGCGAGTTAGTGATCACCATGCCTGGAATGGCGTGGCTGCCACTGCAGAGCCCGTGTCCTCTGCAGGAGCAAGTAGAGAGGAAACATGGGCCAGTGGTTTGGGTAACTGGGTTTAATTCCCTGCTCCAGCAATGCCTCCCTGTGTGACCACAGCCTCTCAGTTTCCCCCGTCTGTGCAATGCGGATAACAGCACTGCCCTGGCTCCCAGGAGCGTTGTGAGGGTGAGTATCTGAACGGTTATGGGGTGCTTAGATACAGCAGTGATGGGGGGCCAGAGAAGTACCACAGAAAGGGGGCTCTAGGTGACTGGTGTGTTTTCAAACTACTACGCCTGTCCTGATGGGAAAAGTGCCTTGTTACTGAAGCATCTGGTTACCTGGACTGCGGGATCCTTGCCTCCTGTTTGTATAAGAGCAGCGCTGTCTCTAAAGGTCAGGGAAGGGCTGGATGGAAGCTCCATTCGGGAGCTTTCTTTCCGGTTAAATGATTTCTCTTCCCCCAGTGCTGGTTTCTAAAGGTGTCTGACGCGACTGGCCATTGTTTGTGTTTACATGAAGCAGTAGGGCCACAGGGCAAAGAAAGGAATGAAGAGAGAAGGGCTGTATGTTTGCATGTCAGTAGAACCTCTCCATGGAGAGACTGCAGAAACCAGAAAGGCCTCAATGGATATGTCTACACTGCAATCAGGAGGTGTGATTGCAGCACGGGTAGGCATGCCTGAGCTAGATCAAAACTCACTCGAGCAACAATAGCAATGATGCCTGGCAGCACAGGTGGCTGCATGGGTTAATTCTGCCCATCCAGGACCTAGGGGATGTACTTGAGTGGCCATTAGCTCAACGCTAGCGTTGAGCTATGTCTGCAAAGTCAACTTACCCGCTGTGTGTAATGTGTAGACGGGGGAAGCCGCCAAATGTATATTTTTAAAGAGAGAGCAAAGAAGCGTTGCAAAGCTGTGAGCCATCTTAATAAGGAGAGTGGTCTGTGGTTCTGCGGGATGCAGACTGAATTGTGCCCATGTGTGGCAGAGTCCCCAGGCTACTAATGGAAACTCTCCTGTGGCAGGGGCCCAGACTTTCAGAGCAGGAGGAAACACGCTATCTCTGGAGTAGCGGCAAGGGTCTGAAGGACACTGTTGCACAGCAAAGATACAGATGCAAAGTCCTGGGTTGTTGTGGATTTGTTCTAGTCCTCAGCACTTTTCATTCTCAAAGCCCTTTGACATTAATTTGTTAATCCGCGATCCTCCTCGGAGACGTAGGTGGAGAACTAAGTATGAGTATCCTATTTAAGAATGTGGGGGAAACTGAGGCCCAGAGTAGTTGAGTGGCTTGCCTGAGGTCACAGAGGGAGATGGTGTCAGCACAGGGATTAGAATTTGGGAGTTCTGGCTGTAAGCACTAGGCCCCTCTTTGCTTTGTTAGATATAGCAGTACCATTTACAATCCTAAGTGGACCTATAGGGTATGTCTACACTGCAGCTGGAAGCGAGCCCCCCGGCTTGGGTCCACAGATTTGTGATGGGGGGGCCTGAGCTGCAGCTTCTACACAGCTATGTTTAGCATGCTAGTGTGAGCCCTGCCACAGCAAGTCTGTGGATCCAGGCTGGGAGGCTTGCTCCCACATGCAGTGTAGATGTAGCCACATAGACTAGGTAGTCTTTGGAGCTGTTCTCCGAGACCTGCTTGGAGTCATAGCCTGCCGTGCTGCTGGTGGGTTTATCTCTTACGCAGTGTCAGGGCTGCCTGAAGGAGACGGGCAGAGGGAACCGAAGAGGAGATGGTGATGGGGTTTGGAAAGTGTGTGGCACCGCAGAACAATCCAGCAGCCGGTGACGATGCCTGAGGCTGGGCAAGATTTGGGACACACGATGTAGCCACTAGAGGGAGCAGTTTATGTCTCTCTACAGGCTAAGCCTTGTTGAATTAGTGACTACTGCCTTTAAACAGGAGAATGGGCTGTAATTCCTATGGGCTGGGCACATCTCTGTGCGTGTTTGTGCAGTTCCATGGGGTCCAAGCCATGGAGGGGAATCTAAATCAGCTGGCCACAAGTCGGCTTGGCTCCACCAACGTGGCTGGTGGAGGTATGATCTTAATGCCGAGAGCCCTGGCATCTTCCAGAGTGAAAAGACATCAAAGCAGTATGGAAGAGGAGCTGTATCTGCATCCACAGTCTCCAAAGGGCTGGGAAGGGGTGACTGTAGGATTCAGAACATCTCAAATGTTGCTTCTGCTTAAATATGAGAATGTACAAAGCCCACAACCCTTCCCACAGTCAAAAGATTGTGGGATTGGATTGAACGATCCCATCCCTGAATGGTCCCTCAAATACTAGGAACCCAAGCTGGCACCAGTAAACAGGTATGTTTCTCATAGGGCTGATGACATTTTTCCATCAACTTTTTTTGGGATGGAAAATTGGATTTTCAATGAAAGTAAAATTTTCCGGCAAAATGTCTTCTCTCTTTAGAAGCATTTCAGTTTTTTTTTATTTGTCAGAAAATCAAAACCCCCAAAACTGATTTATTATTATTATTATTATTATTTATTATTATTTTGGCTGAAAATTGAGCAATTGGTTTTGGCCCTTTTTGTCCAAATATTTTTTTTGGCAAAGTCAACATTTCCCACTGAAAAATTTCCATGAAAACCAAACAAAACAATTGCATTTTTGTTGAAATTTTCCATGGAGATGGGGGGGGAGGGTGTTTGTGCAGTTCCAGGGGAGAAGAGGAGGGTTTCAAGGTTCTGACCAGTTTTAATTTCTAAGATCAGAGCTATTAGCAGTCGGAAAGACCTATTGGATCATTAATTTCCTGCACCTCCTAGCGCAGAATGTAGTCGATGTAATAGAAAAGACCTAGCATGTACTAAACTGACACTCACTTGATGTTAGCCCAAAGACCACTCCGTGTTTAGCTGCTGCAAACTAATATTCCTACTTAATGCTTTATGGGCCAGCTTTTAAAGAGAGGGTTGGGTGTTTATGAGACTTTTTCTGCCTACAGATTCTGAGGACAGAGAAAATCTGACAAAGAACAGGGTCACCCACATCCTGTCGGTGCATAACAACGCCAGACCCCTTCTGGAGGTGAGTGTGAGTGCGTTCGCAGCCTGGGGAGCTGGGAAGGAGGGAAATGTGAGAGGCGAGCATTGCTGCTATCAAGTGGGGATAACAACGCTTCCCGTAGCCAGGGCTGTGCAGCTGTGTTTGCTAAAGTCTCTGAAGTGCTTTGAGATCTCTGGATGAAGCTCTGCGGCTATAATACTAGTGAGGAGGATCGCTATGCAAAGCAGAGGTGCCAGGCATAGACGGGGCCACCAGAGGGCACCCCAGCTCTGTGCAGCGTTACAAGGCTTCTTCCAGGCCAGAGAAGGAGCCATGTGTGCGGGAGGGGACGTGGCAGCCATTCGTGGGTAGGGTGATCAGATGTCCCGATTTTATAGATTTTATCAGAGGTCCTGATATTTGGACCTTTTTCTTATACAGGCGCCTATTACCCCTCCACCACCGTCCCAATTTTTCACGCTTGCTATCTGGTCACCCTATTAGTGGGTGAGTCGAGTGTTCCTTTTTTGGGATCCTAGACTGTGCAAATAGCTTGGTGTATACACACAAGCTTGAATCCAGGCCTTTGTCAACTCCAGGCTTGTACTTCTGCCAAGCGCTCCACACAGGGCAGGTTGGCCTGGCCTGGGGCCACTTGGGGCACTTCTCTGCTGGCAGCCGCCTTGGGCTCAGGAACTGGATTCGTGATGGGGAGGGTGATGAGTGGGGCAGGTGCCGGGTGCCTGGTGCCATCTGGTAGAGAGTTTTGGGGTTAATCCCAGACACGTTCCCCAGGTGCTGGCGATGGGAGCGGGGCGAGTTTTGGACGCCAGCCCTTTGTGCGTCATTGAGATGAGAGGCCAAATCTCAGAGATCTGTGGGTATACAGGGGTGGCTCGCCCTCCTTTCCAGGGCAGGGCTGGGGTTCCTGGTGGGAGCAAGGTGCAGGTAGAATTGCACAGTGGAAAATAGCAGGTTAGAGTGAAAAAATAATCTGGAGGAAACCCAGATCCCACTTAGCCAGCCCCATATCCTCAGGCCCTTCTGCAGCACCCGCTATTGTGTAAGTGCACTACTGACCTCTAGTGGATAGGAAAGCAAATGTGTGTGAACTTAGTACCCGTGCCTGCTGCTTCTGGGGGGACCATGGTTCTGCTGGTTGGGGATGCATTTAGCTTATGAGATAAAACCGTACATCTCTTGTGTCTCTCGGTTTCTGCAGCTTGGCCCTCTGTGCTTGTGCTCCCCACTCCCCTATCTGCTAGTCACTCCCTTCCAGCAACTGTTGTTGTTGTTGTTTCCCTCGAGCGAGATGAGGACCCCATTGTGCTAGGTGCTCTACACACACTTAGCCAGAGACAGTCACTGCTCAGAAGAGCTTGCAGGGCAAAACAGACAAAGGGTGGGAGGGGAAACTGAGGCACAGACCCGGGAGGTGACTTGCCAAAGGTCACCCAGCAGGTCAGTGGTAGAGCTAAGAAGAAACTCCAGGTCTCTGGAGGCCCAGTCCAGTGCATTACCCACTGGACCATGCTTTCTCCCTGCTGGGCCACTATGCTGTTCTTCTTCCACCTCCTCTTGGGCAGGGAGTAGGCTCAGTCTATATCGCAGTGCGGGCAGGACCTTCTGCTAACCCCATGGGCTGGTATGGTACCTGAGGGGAACTCTTTCGGTGAGGGCAAAAGGTCAAAGGGCATTCTCCTGTGGGCCGTTTAATGGTAGCGATAGCCGCGATGATGGCAGAGGTCTGGTGTCTTCGGAGTGGAAGGTTCTCAGGTTGATCCCTGCTGACGGCTGTGAAGTCCCGTGTGGCCCTGTGCGGTTGCTGAGGATGCTGAGACTGTCCCAGCAGCACTGGGCCTGTGCTACTGGACCTTCCTCCTGCTCAGGAGGATTACAAAGAGAAATAACAGCGGGAGCATTTTCCCCGTGAAGGGCCATTGAGTAATTTGTGAGTAATTTGTGGGGTAAAATCAAAGATGTAGAAACTGCTGCGGGCGTGGGGGAGCAGCAGCAGCTGCCTGGGAGCCGTCTCTGCCAGAGCATGGCCCCTCCAGACGGGTGGCGAACCACAGCAAGAGCTTACAACACGTTCGAGCACGTGGGGCCAGAGGAAAAGGGGAACCGGAAAGGCATGGTGGGTTGAGCAATGTGTCAATCACAGAGCCAGGCAGGGAACCGCAAACCCCAGTGCTGTTCCCAGGCAGGCAGCAGTGCTGTCATCTTCCCTCCTTGGGCTGTGGGACCTGTCTCCAGCAGGGCAGAGGAAACGGCTAGCAGAGCAGCAGTTAATCCTGGGGTGTGTGTGTGGGAAGAGGTGACCTGCTGGCAAGAAGCACCGAGGAGCTAGACTATCTCCTGGGCTGGAGACTGTTTGCAGTGCGGCTTCCCTGGTTGCTGGGAAGCTGCAAATCCCGGCCAATGTGTTTTTGATGCAGTTGACTGCTTAGTTTGTTGCTGGACTGGGTGCTGTGGCGTGAGGCCAGCAGGTGCCAGGCAAGCTGCAGCTACATGGCCCTGTCAATGCGTCTTGACCACGCGCTGCAGCACCGTGTGTTGTTCCAGGGCTGCTCCTAGCCTGGCTCTGCCAGTGCACCTCACTCCTGAGCAGTGTTCTCCCCCTTCACTCCCCTCTTGCATCCCCTGCTATTCTGTCACAGCTCTGCCAATGCACCTCACTCCCAACTTGCGGCCCCCCGGCCTGTCCAGGCCTGGGCTTGCTCCCCCACAACCCGCTGTGCCAATGCACCCCACTTTCCTTCAGCTCTTTGATAGCAGCTGTCAGTCCGTGGCAGAACAGACAGTGGTTTGGTGAGGTGTTGGGACGAGGAAACCACCGAACGCCTTTTCCCCAAACTAATTTGGACTCCCTCAGTTGTGTGAGAGGCGAATTCTCACGCTATGCAGAGGGCTTATGAAAGGGCAGGGCTCCCGGGTGACACACCACAGTGCATTACACCCAGCCCTCTCTTTCCGGCTCCTCCGGGAGTTCTTCCAAAATGGTGTGTGTGTGTGTGTGTATGTGTACATGTATGCACATTGAGAAGCTCTGAAAGGAAACAGCCAGCCTTGGGGCCAACAGTTCTGATGGTACCCAGACACCAAGGTGATGGGCACAGCATAAATCTCTAGAGAGGAGAGACAGACCAGTATAACTCTGCTCCAAGGGAGACAGTAAGAAGAGAGCGCAAGGAGATCCCAGAGCAGCCTTCTCCACCTCTTACAGTCTGAGAGGTGGACCCGGAATATGGCTTTTCTCATAAGAAGGCCAAGCTGACAAGGAGCAGAGTTCTTGGGAGATGCACAAGCAGCGCACGCGTGAGAGAGATTCCCCAGGGTGGACTGTCTCATTGTTCTTTGGCCTGAATCTGCCAGTGGATCCTAGCTAAAGACACGGCCTTCATAATCCCCACCCGTAGCAGTACTGATCGGCACAGCATGGGCCAGGGTACTGCAGGCTTCCCTTCACCTGCAAGGGCCAACTCTAGGGGTACAAAAGTGGGTAATTCAGCCTGTAGCTCATTTTGAACCTTGGCTTCTTCGTGGAGAAAGCCAGCGAGGTGCTGCCCATGAAGGTAACCTTTGAGATCTGGACAGCTGCCCCTCTAGAGACTGGACTGAGTACCACCAAACTGCTTTCCCAGAGCGACTGTGCTCTCAGATGCCTGTCTCTGCTGATGACCTGGTAGTGAAAAGCTCCATCTCCCATTCAAAGGCCCCTGCACCTCCTTCAGACTGACCATTCGTTAGGCCCAATCCATCCGAGATCACAGCAGTGAGGAGCTCTCCATTCATAGCTGGGTCTCAATGGACGTTTGTGCTGCTGGAGACAGGAAGATGCCCTATGCTGGCTCTGCTCACCCTACGAAAGTGGCCTTGTTGAGGCCCATGTCTGTGGGAGGCTGCGCAGCAGCTGCCCCTGTTGTGCCTTGCTCTAGCCGCTGCATTTTCACAGCTGCATGTTCACTGATTTCTCAAATCACTAGCTATGACTTGTCCAGCCATGACGCAGGGTGAGGGTCTTCCGCAGGGCCTTAGAAACACAGGTGAGATGAACACATGTGGAGGAGATGCACCGCCTTGCAGAAGACCTCTGAGGTTAGGGCGAGCGAGGAACTGCTTTCCTTTTAGACTGAGGGCGTGCTACTCACCATGCCTTGAGAACACGTTTCGGGGGTGGTGGTGAAGAGAATCCCTGAGATTCCACACGGACCGGCTGACTCCAGACCCACTTTCCCAGCAGTAAAGTGGTCCCAGTCCTGCTGCAGCACAATGGGCACCTCCAGCATCTCTGACCAGGCAATGAGCGTCTAGAACTGGCCCAGCTTGAGCTGACAGTGGGGTGTGAATCCAGGGCCTTCAGCCCTAAAAGCCTCTATTCTGGAAGTAAAGAGTGTGGGCCCAGAGTTTTAAACGTATGTAGGTGTTGCTTAAAACCCTTTTGAAAGTGAGATTTAGGCTCCTAAATCAGGCGTTGGGACACTGAGCGCAGCAGTGGCTAGATACCTTTAAAATCTGGGCCGAAGTCTATTAACTGGCAGCAGTAGTAGACTTTTATCCTCTGAAGTGGACCAGTCCTTCAGGAGCACTAAGACTCACCCTCTGCTAATCAGAATGACACCAATGCAGGGGAGCTCCCTTGGCAGTGCTGCTGGCTCTGCCTGCTGTGGCCAGGACAGCCCATGCGTCCCAGGTGAGGGGGATAGTCCTAGCCAGCGAGTTTAAAGCCCCATGCAGCAGTGACACACTGGAGTGCTCTCCAGGCAGCTGGGGGAGAGGGAATAAGTCCCAGCTGTGGCAAGGCTCAGGTGCTGTGCGGTCCCTTGGCCAGCCTGCATACTAGAGATAGGGCTGAGAAAGCTATGCAGGCTGCAGACAGGCAGGGTGAGGTGGGTTGTGAGTCCCAGGGGAGACCTCTCCATAACTGACCAGGCAGAGCAGCTCCCAGCAGTCGGCCACTCAGTCCTGGCCCGTCCTCGAGACTGGACCCTGTTTCCTACCATGCTCTCAGCAGCATGCTGTGCAGGGGCTCTGTCCTGCTCTTGCCAATGGGAGATGTGGGTCTCGGCATGTCTGAGTCATTGCTCCCGAGAGTCACACACCCTTCGGGAGTGTCTGCAACAGCATTGTCTGGGGGGGTCATTTCCAGGTGAGGTTTGCTGGCCCTGCAAACCCAAGGCCCGGCTGCAGCTAGTGTACCCTCTTCTTGCCAGAGGGCTCTGGCCTGCAGAACTCCCTGCCACTGGGGTTCAGCAGAGGCCTGAGCTTGGCACTTTATAGGTGAGTGCTTTGCACAGGCCTCTCCTCCATAACGGAGCATCAGAATTGCCTGGCTAAACTGGAGACGGCCCCCAGGTAAACCCAGGCTGGGGCGGGGAGGTTAGGCCCTGCTGAGAGACTCAAGGTACCTCCTCTATGGGAGTGGGAGGGCTAGAAGAAAAGATGAGATTAGGGGTAACAAGCGCCGCCGGCCCATTGGCTTCCAGGGACTTTGTGTGACTGGGCAGTGGGAATTCTGGCTTCTAGTGTGCGCTCGCATGTCGGCCACCGTGAGACACGTGCCCTGTGGGCTAGTTTATACGTGGTCTCGTTGGAAATCCCACGGGCCTGGGTTCAGTGTGGGAGCAGTGCCCAGGAGGGGATTCCCAGCCTTGCAGGCCTTGGAGGCCAGGGTCACAGGGACAGAGGCCTGAGCTACTTCATCACCACAGCCAGGAGGGGGCAGACACAAGCGGTTCAAGGCTCGAGGTTCCTCCACAAGGAGAACAACCAACCTGGGTCCCCAAATCCCGTCCGACCCGAGTCCCGTGGGGGGACCGGGCTCACCCCCCCCAGGAAGAGAGGAGAGTCTCAGGAAAAGGCGGAGAACGATCTCCAGCCCTAGGAGTGAGCTCTGGTTATCTGCAGCGTATCGTGAGGTACGCACAGGACGGACAGACTCGGGGGTAGTGTTGGCTCTGCAATGAAGGCTACATATGCAGGGCGGGGTTGCGTCTCTGTGCCTGGCTGGTCCCGTGTAATAAAGCGACTCCTTTGAGCGGAGAGGGGCCGCATGGGAAGGTTCAGTGGCCCGTGTTCTCATGGGCGGTGGGTGTAATAGGCCAGAGAAGGCTAAGCCTCCCCAAACCCAGGCTGTGGCCCCACCCACGCTCTGCCATGAGGCCTCGCCGTCGTTTTGCATCTCCCCCCTGAAGCCAGCGTGAGCTCAGCTCTGGCCAGTGGCCTGGGGCTCAGGCCCACCGGCGGCTCGGGCTGGCTGGTAGTCAGGGGCAACTTGGCCTGGGTAGCTCAGGCGGGCGGGCTGGTGTTTGGTCCGGCTGGCATGGCTGGAGCGGGCTGGCTGGCAGCTCAGGGCAATTTGGCCGGGGCTCCTCTGGCTGCAGTGGGGTGCTCGGGCGGGGCGGAAGGGACAGGGTAGGGCTAGGGCCTCAGGTGGAAGGGGCAGAGCCTCCCCTAAGGGGGGTTCACACGCCACCCATGCATGTTGGGCAGGTCTGACTAGATGGTCTGTGAATCGATGGTCTCTGTTTCAGACGTTCGGTCCCCTTGTGTGTTTGTAGCACGGTGGGGTCCTGCTTCACTCCTAGCTGCTACAGTAATACAAATAAATAAATAATAATCACAGTATGTTTCCCTTGGGCCTGCTCCAAAGTTCGCTGAAGCCAATGTGAGTCTTTCCACTGACTTCAGTTTGGCTTTGGCTCTAGCCCCAGTTGTTTATGGGTTGTTTTTATTGAAAAGTCCACTGCAGCTGATCACCGCCACCCAGCAAAGAGACTGAAGGAGAACTGCAGCAAGCTGGTGTTTACCTGCTCAAACGCTGGCTGGCAGGATTCTCATCCACTTTGCTTTGGAGCAGGAGCCTTAAAAACATCCCACTTTCTAATTTTAGTGCAGCGCTGGGAGGATCTGGGAAGCATCGTTTTAGAGAAAAGAAGTCCCCTCTCCCCCCCAGTGCAGCAGGCCCGATTTATATCTATATAAAGGTAACTAGAAAAGGAAACAACACACAGATGAGAGCGATTTCAAATGTACATGTTTACACACCATCTTTCTAATCCAGGTGAGGCCCCCATCTCCATGATAGCTAGTTCCATGGCAGGCGAACTAGTTACAACACCTCCTCCCGCAGCTTCAATACAGCATGATTCCGCGTTGGTGGGAACTCTCTGTGTTCTAACCACGTTCCCGAACTGTGCCAAATTCTTGGCTTTAGCGTAGTCTCAGCACTTGGTTAAAGTCCTGTTTGCAGCACAAGAGGGAACCATGTTGCAACTGGGTCAGGGAAAACTGTTGTAACAAGGGCCCCTAAATATGGGCTTGTGAGATTACCATATGCTTCCAGTAGCTTCACCATGGGAATCGCAAGTGCTCCAGAGCACATGCCTTGGCTGCACCATGTGAATTTCACTTTATTTTGGGTACTATCCATAGAATGCTTGACCACGTTAAGACAAATAAGCCCCTCCTCACTGGGCTCAGGATGGGGCTAGCTAGTCCGATTATATGTTAAGCAGGTACAGTGGATGAAATCCTGGGGACATGATGATGTTAATGGCAAAAATCCCATTAGATTCCATGGGGCCAGGATTCCACCATGTGTTTTAAACATGGCTGCTTGTTAGCTAGGTTTTAGTGCGTTTACATTCTGAGCCCCTCGGCGCAAGGGCTGTTCTTAAGTGCTTGGAAAGTGCCTGGCACATAGTGGACGCTACCCTTAATAACTCCTTTCACTGGTCTGGATAGGGGCTGGGGTTGTCTGAAAAGCATGTTATAAATCATCCAGGATCCACAAACTGAATTAAGTCAGGAAATTCAATGACATTTTCTCATCCTCCTTTGGGGAACTTTTACCCATATTCCGTTCTGGATTTTGTGTGGCCAGCCTTTTGTTGAGGTCTTTGACTTCAACAGGGCCAGGATTTCATCCCAAGCTGGTTGTCATGCAGTCTGGAGTGGCTCACAACTGTGAGTGCCAACCTCAGGGCAAACTGTCAAAAGCAGGGCAGACACCCCGAACTGGTGCCATGTTCTATAATTAGATTTCATCAACCCAATAACAAATGTGACCTCCTGGATCCCTGTGACAGTCTTACCATGGAGTGACAGACAGCCCCCTTGGGCACTCCAGGCTATCTTGCCAGCCAGGCAAGTTGCACTTGGAGATAAATGGTCACTTACACCAAAAAACAGCAGAATTTTCAGGTTGCTCCCAGTCCCAAGAAACCAGTCACTTACCCCAGATCAATTTGTACCTTAGATCTCACACCAGAGACAACACTGGTAATCAATCCTATAGCAATTAAGGATTTATTAACGAGGAAAAAGAAATGAGAGCATTATTTACAGGTTAAAGAAGGCAACAGATATGCACAAAAGAGTTACAGTATATGGTTCCAAAAGCGACAGAGATGTAGTAATCCGTCAGCATTTAATGTCTTTTCAGGGCTAACCCAGGTTGCTCTTGGGGATCTCTGCTTTTTGTTTCTTAGCTCCAACCCTTGTAAGAGTCCAAACAGCAAAGAGATGAAAAATCTTCATGTCAGCTATCTTTATTTCCCTCTTCCAGCATTCAAACCCATGGGACGAGGCCTTCTGCATGTAGTTCCCCACGTGTGCATGGGGCAACCAGCAAAGCTTTTGCTGTAGGATGGCCCACCTCATTTTGATAATCTTTCTGGATGGGCGGAGGGAGCCACTCTTCCCGTCTGAGTTCACAAGTTCAGAGCAACCATTTTTACAATTATAAAACAAACATATTTTACCTGGTAGCCTGGAATACAGCCATTACAAGTGAGATTAATGCCGGCAGCAATTTACAAGCATTTTATAGAGACTAAACACATCCTTACACGTCTAACATCTATCTTGAACAATATTAACATAGGTGAACTGGTCTGGTTTCCAGCTATAAATTTGTCAGTGCTCACCTGATGCTTACAGACTTGGCAAGAGCTGGCACCTGGTTTAACGATGTCACACGGGTGATGCTGCAAGAACAGTCGGGCGGGGGGAAGGGGTTTAAGAGGGTCATAGGGGTTGGAGATTTCTGGTTACAAGCTTGTTGAAGGCATTTTAATGTTGTCTCCTTCCTTCTGTTTCAGGATATGACCTACCTCTGTATATCAGTTTCAGATTCGTCCAGTCAAAACCTGTAAGTTCTTTCCAAGTTTTTACACAAATTGTTCCATGGGCAGCAAATTGTTAGTTTTCAATGAATGAATGTCCCAGCAATGAAGGGGTGATCATTAGAATTTGAACTATCTTTAGATCATTGCTGAGCTTAAACACAGCCTGCATATTAATAACATTTCTAGATTTGATATATATGTACATATATATTCATACATAGAGGTGTATATGTATGTGTGCAGAGCTAGTCAAAAAATGGCAAACTCATTTCCCTCAAGATTTCCAAGTTGATTTTGTGTCAAAGGATTTGAAATGGATCCATTTTTTATTTGCTTATATTTTTCAATTGCCATTTCTCCCCGATTTTTCCCTCCAAACTTTCCTTGGAAACATTCCTGAAATAATTGTCAAAACTTTGCACAAACAAGTGTCCATAGGCATTTAGATAATGTTTTCAACACTAACTCTAAAAGAAACATTGAAAAAAGGCACAACATTTTTCACAAAACCCCTCCCCACAACATCTGACCGAGTTGACAATTTTTTGCCCAAAATATTGTTTCTGAAAAAAGGCCATTTTAAAAAGTGAAAATGCCCCCTTGGACACAAGAGAGACAGGGCGGGTGAAGTAATATATTTTATTGGACACTGGACATACAACCACTGGAAACATGCTGACAGGTCTGTTTGTGTGTGTGTATACACATAGATACATAAAAACATAAGAACGGCCATACTGGGTCAGACCAAAGATCCATCTAGCCCAGTATCCTGTCTTCTGACACTGGCCAATGCCAGCTGCCCCAGTGGGAATGAACAGGACACGTAATCATCAAGTGATCCATGCCCTGTTGCCCTCTCCCAGCTTCTGGCAAACAGAGGCTAGGGACGCCATTGATGGACCTATCCTCCATGAATTTATCTAGTTCTTTTTTGAACCCTGTTATAGTCTTGGCCTTCACAACATCCTATGGCAAGGAGTTCCACAGGTTGACTGTGCGTTGTGTGGAGAAATACTTCCTTTTGTTTGTGTTAACCTGCTGCCTTTCATTTGGTGACCCCTAGTTCTTGTGTTATGAGAAGGAGTACATAACACTTCCTTATTTACTTTCTTCACACCAGTCACGATTTTATAGACCTCTCAATCATATGTCCCCTTAGTTGTCTCTTTTCCAAGCTGAAAATTCCCAGTCTTATTAATCGCATCTCATACAGAAGCTGTTCCATAACCCAAATCATTTTTATTGTCCTTGTCTGAACCTTTTCAAATTCCAATATATCTTTTTTGAGATGGGGCTACCACATCTGCACACAGTATTCAAGATGTGGGCGTACCATGGATTTATATAGAGGCAACATGATATTTTCTGTCTTCTTATCTATCCCTTTCTTCATGATGCCCAATGTTCTGTTCGCTTTTTTGACTGCCGCTGTACATTGAGTGGATGTTTTCAGAGAACTATCCACAATGACTCCAAGATCTCTTTCTCGAGTGTTAACAGCTAATTTAGACCCCATCATTTTATATGTATAGTCGGGATTATGTTTTCCAATGTGCATTACTTTGCATTTATCAGCATTGATTTCATCTGCCATTTTGTTGCCCAGTCACCTAGTTTTGAGAGATCCTTTCGCAGCTCTCCATGGTCTGCCTGGGACGTAACTATCTTGAGTAATTTTGTATCATCTGCAGATTTTACCACCTCACTGTTTACCCCCTTTTCCAGATCATTTATGAATATGTTGAACAGCACTGATCCCAGTACAGATCCCTGGGGGACACCACTATTTACCTCTCTCCATTCTGAAAACTGACTATTTATTCCTACCCTTTGTTTAGGAATAAATGGCTAAAATGGGAGGCAGTGTACTGGAGTGAGTAGACCACTGGACTGGCTTCTATGCCTGGCTCTGCCACGTGACTTTGGATAAGACATTTCCCCTCTCCGTGCCTCAATTTCCCCATCTGTAAAATGGGGACGATGATACTGACCTCCTTTGCAAAGCGCTTTGAGATCTCCTGAAGAAACGGGCTAGCTAGGAGCTAGGCATTATCATCTCTGTGTGTATGAATAGCTGCATGTGCATTTGGGGCCCTTTCAGGAATCCTGTCACCCCAGCCCACGGAGCTGTACTCTGCAATACTAAGTTTTGCTGAGGTGTTACTGCTTTTGCATCCATGCATGATTGCCCTCAGTCAGCCTGGCATGCTCTGAGGGTTCATGCAGCTGCTTCCACCCTGCAAAACCCTCTTCCCAGGTAAGATATGGCTGGGGGCAGAGCTGATTACAGCTCCTCCTTTGTGCTGCAATGCTTGGAAGGAATGCACTGGTGAGGGAGCGTGGGGGGTGTTACTCTCCAGCCACTCTGGAGTCTGACTTCTAGGAACTGCTGCAGCGTTATAACCCCAGGGAGATGGCGCGGAGTAGTGACTTTCTGCATCAGACCTGGTCATGAGTCTCTGTTCAGTTCTCTCTGGTGCCTGAGTGGGAGGAGCTGTGCAGGTCCGTCTTTGGGATGTGAGTTCTCTCCTTACCTCCTCTCCTCACCCACAAATCCTTTCTGTCTTGTTTTGCTCCTTCTCACCCCACTTTCCCCTGCACCCCCAACCCCCATGCCCGGGATGGAGTGTGTGTGTGTTTGTGTGTTGTGGGGGTGCAGTGGATTTTCTCCCTCCCAAGCCCCCGTGGGATCTGAAGAATGCGGCTGGTGGACAGGTCTTTTCCCACTGCTGAGCTTCACTCTGCTCAAGGCCACACAGCATCAGCAGAGTGCCTGTCAGTGCCCTCCAGATCCCAGTGGATCCATGTTAAATTCAGGACTATTCACAGTGGTGATCCCTCACTGGTGGATTTAATGGGCCACAAAACCCAACTCCAGACAGAGAGTTGTGTGTTTGGAGTTGGAGGTTTTGACTTCTCTTACCAAGGCCTCCTGCACATGCTGGCCAACCCTTGGTGCGGTACCATTATCACTGAAATGTTCATGGTATCGGTCCCCACTGAGCGTAATCCAGTGGCAGAATCTCAAAGTGGCCTCTCCACAACACTTAAATTGCAACCCTTCTGTTCTGGGGCACATACCTGTGGGTGCTCCAAAGCTCATCTTTCCATGCACAAATAGTATTGGGGTGCCCCATGAATGACGCCAGTCTGACACCATCTCGCCACTCCATTTCCATAGAAATGCCACTTGTACATGCAAACCTGCGGTTCTGAGTGCCCAGAACTGTGGGTGTGCAGGTTCAGAGGCTGCTTTGGAAACTTTCATAGAATCATAGAATCATAGAATATAAGGGTTGGAAGGGACCCCAGAAGGTCATCTAGTCCAACCCCCTGCTCGAAGCAGGACCAATGCCCAGTTAAATCATCCCAGCCAGGGCTTTGTCAAGCCTGACCTTAAAAACCTCTAAGGAAGGAGATTCTACCACCTCCCTAGGTAACGCATTCCAGTGTTTCACCACCCTCTTAGTGAAAAAGTTTTTCCTAATATCCAATCTAAACCTCCCCCACTGCAGCTTGAGACCATTACTCCTCGTTCTGTCATCTGATACCATTGAGAACAGTCTAGAGCCATCCTCTTTGGAACCCCCTTTCAGGTAGTTGAAAGCAGCTATCAAATCCCCCCTCATTCTTCTCTTCTGCAGGCTAAACAATCCCAGCTCCCTCAGCCTCTCCTCATAACTCATGTGTTCCAGACCCCTAATCATTTTTGTTGCCCTTCGCTGGACTCTCTCCAATTTATCCACATCCTTCTTGAAGTGTGGGGCCCAAAACTGGACACAGTACTCCAGATGAGGCCTCACTAATGTCGAATAGAGGGGAACGATCACGTCCCTCGATCTGCTCGCTATGCCCCTACTTATACATCCCAAAATGCCATTGGCCTTCTTGGCAACAAGGGCACACTGCTGACTCATATCCAGCTTCTCGTCCACTGTCACCCCTAGGTCCTTTTCCGCAGAACTGCTGCCTAGCCATTCGGTCCCTAGTCTGTAGCTGTGCATTGGGTTCTTCTGTCCTAAGTGCAGGACCCTGCACTTATCCTTATTGAACCTCATCAGATTTCTTTTGGCCCAATCCTCCAATTTGTCTAGGTCCTTCTGTATCCTATCCCTCCCCTCCAGCGTATCTACCACTCCTCCCAGTTTAGTATCATCCGCAAATTTGCTGAGAGTGCAATCCACACCATCCTCCAGATCATTTATGAAGATATTGAACAAAACCGGCCCCAGGACTTTGTCCCTGGGTATTTGGAGAGCTGCTAGCGTTCCACTGGAGAGTGCATCTTTCAGAGAAAGAGACATGTCCCGGCCTTCTAATTCTGCTTGCTCATGTTCCCACTGAGCAGAAAGAGAAGCTTTACAAGAAAACCTTTCCTCAGCAAGATCAGGATTTTTTTTTTTCCTTTATGACATGTCTACACAAAACTGGCCACAGGAAGGAAGAGTTGTTCAAGGAACTATTTTTTGCACATTGCTTTATACCAGAGATTTCACAATGCGGCTGAACTTACAAAGGATTTCTAAGAAGGGAGGTTTGTGACTGGAGACCTTGGAGACTCATAATGACCTGCATGTAAAGAGGGAATCTGTACCGATTACTCTAGGAGATGGCTGGAAATTGAGTATGTTCCTTGGGGCTGATGCCTGTAAACATGAGAGAGAGGATTCTGGTGGCTGACATGGTCTGGGAAGTCAGCTGGGGTAAAGAGTCAGCAAAAGTGGGTTCCCATGGTGAGGAAGTCAGCACTACATTAAAAACCTGAACCAAACAATTACACAAAAAGGCTTGTCCAGCAGTGCATTTCCGGGGCTGGTGTATTGTGGGACATGAAGCCAAAGGCTTCAAGCTCCCCAAGGAGAGCAACAAATCCATCATAACCGAGGCCCTGTGTTTTTGGTTTTTATTTTGTTTAAAATATGTATCCGTGTTTATTACAAAAATTAAAAACTGGGTGAAAATTGGTGAAAAAAATTAACTTCACAATTTTCTGGGTAAAAATCCACGTTAATATTAGGGG